GAAGTCCAGTGACTTCGTGCTGCAAGGCCGCGGTGAACAGCTTTGGCAAGATAGTGTCGCCTTGTCGAGCCCCCTTCCCAATGGTCAGGGAACGATGGAATGGCAGCATAGTCGTTGTAAATCCTTGTAGCAGTCGGCTAGCGTCCTCACCTAAGATGGGTCCACTCTTTGATCGACTAGCGCAGACAGGATGGCATTGGTTTCGACGCTGTCAAAGGTTTTCTCGTAGTTGACGAAGATTAGGACGAGAGGCAGTAGTTACTTCCAGCAGACTTCTTTAATCCTCGAAAGCGTCTGGATGTGGTCCATGCAGCTGGATCCATCGCGAAATCCAGCTTGTTCTTAGGATTGAGCTTCATCCAGTGTCCTAGATATGCGAGGCGAGGATAATCTTCGTTAAAACTTGTAAAGCACACTCAGCAAGCATAGCAGACGATAGTTCCGAAGACCCCCCGTTCGCCCTTCTTGAAGAGGAGGACGATCCTTGAAGTTCTCCACTGGCCGGGAATAATTCCTTCTGAAGTTAAGATGTTAGATGCGACGCTAGAACTTCGCGCAGACGGTGTTCTCCGGCTCCTCCCGTCTTCGTTTAGTATGCAGGCCAGCGGTACCATTCACAGAGGTCCCTTCGGCACTTCTTAAAATTTCGTCTTTCTTCGGCTGCTTCCAGTTCCTTGCTTGCCCTGTACTAGGACCCCCCTGCAAAGCTGTTCTGCAACATCCCGATTCTCGCATTGAAGTCGCCCATAACAAACTTGTAGAAGCACTTCTCGTTGCGGACGACCTCCTCCACGTCTTCGTAGAAAGCACCTAGTTCTGAGTCGTCAGCTGCTGTTGTTGGCTGTAGCAGTTAATGATGCTGATGGTTTTCTGACGTGGACGTCGTAGTCGTAGAATAGCTAGTCGAGGTGATGTCTGTTAGTTCCGAAGCCCATATCCAAACTCCAATCCTATATTCCTTTTCTAGAGGCATTTCGATTCTCGCATTGAAGTCGCCCATAACAAACTTGTAGCAGGACTTCTCGTTGCGGACGATCTTCTCCCCGTTTTCGTAGAAAGCATCTAGTTCTGAGTCGTCAGCTGCTGTTGTTGGCTGTAGCAGTTAATGATGCTGATGGTCTTCTGACGTGGACGTCGTAGTCGTAGGATAGCTAGTCGAGGTGATGTATGTTAGTTCCGGAGCCCATATCCAAACTCCAATCCTATATTCCTTTTTAGACATCCCGATTCTCGCATTGAAGTCGCCCATAACAAACTTGTAGCAGGAATTCTCGTTGCGGACTATCTCCTCCTCGTCTTCGTAGAAAGCATCTAGTTCTGAGTCGACAGCTGCTGTTGTTAACTGTAGCAGTTGATGATGCTGATGGTCTTCTGACGTGGAGGTCGTAGTCGTAGGATGGCTAGTCGAGATGATGGGATCTCATACGAATCGACAAGACGGACGATAGATGGGTGGACGACGATGCCAAGGCCTCCAAAGTTTCGTGATGGAACCTTCTCTCACCACAAATGATGAGGGTCCCATCATTCATCTTTCGCACGTCCTTCTTCCCGGACTTCGTTTCCTGCAGAGCAATGATGTTGTGTGCTCTGCAGCGCGAGAAGAGCGTGGAGTTCGGCGTTTGTGGAGACTGTCCTGACGCTGTAGGTGCAGACATGAGGCACTCTCCATGGCGTGTCGTCCCGGCAGACGTGTCGTTTTCGTCCATCCAAAAAGCGCCCTGAGTACCTTAACATCGTCCTTGTTACCACCCGGCGCCGTAGGCAGGATCCGAAGTGCAAGGATTTTTCTATTTTTTTGCTGATCAAGTGCGAAAACTTTTCCCCCACAAGAGCAAGAGCAGACTTACTGTGCATTGCAGTTCGGCACCCAGTGTCACTTCCACGCAACGCTGATGCGGGCTACCATTGTGGGAGCATTCGAAGGCTCCTTAGTACAAGGGAGGCGGAACTGGACCAAGTACAGTGCACAATATGTACGAGTTAATAATTGAAAGGAGATCCCACCGATTGGCCACACTTTGGTGACAGGTACCACTCGCTCTTGAGTGATTAGATACTCAAGAGAGTAGCTTCATGATTGATTAGATACTCAAGAGTGAGTAGCTTCACAGTTCAGCCTACGGGGATTCCGTATGCTATATGCAATATAAAATTTATAGACCATTTTCACAAAAGAGATGCCTACAATTCTAGAGGTAAATTAATCTTAATGCACATAATGATGCGCTAATCCTGAAGAATTTCAAAATGCTCTGAGTGTCGCTTACTCATTTGTAAGCAGGAACTGCTTCATAACCTTGTAGTAAAAATCGCTCTTAGTGCTCAAAACGGTGTTGCAATTCTTGGTTCCTCAGAATGCCCTAGGTGTCACTTAGAGACCGTTAGTAACAAGGAAGATACCCTACGATTTCAAAGTAAACTCGCTCTCAATGCGCAAAACTCAAATAACGCCTCAATCCTAGACTAATTTCTCAAAATTTCTCAAAGTACTCTAAGTGCCGCTTACAGACCGTTATTTACAGCAAAGAACTGCTCTATGGTCCCACAAAAACCTACTTTTGATTTTTGAATTTTCCCTAGTCCTTGAAAATTTTGGGCATCGAAAATAAACAATGTTTCTCAAAACGCTCTGCTTTACAGCTTACAGACCAAAATTAGGGAGGCGGTCGAAGGGCGCGTGTTGATTGGCTGTCGTTAACAAAGAAAATCAAGAAAAGAAAATAAGATTTATCTTGCTCTTTCCGGATCTCAGCAACGCGATCCTTCGCAGTACTTCCTGATATAGTGACAAGATTCTTGAATGTGAAAATGTTATCTTTGTGAAGCGAATCCAGTACCGCGATGACGACCGCTGAGACGCACACCTTTCGACATACATTCCCAAAATTATGTGAAAGATTTGCCCTCGCCAGTCATCACTTGAATATTACCTATTGGAGGCAATGCCCAGGCAATACTTTGTTTTTAGTAAATTCACTTACCTGTTGCTATTCGCAGCTCTGAATCTGAAACACATTAGCCCTTTTCGGACCTGGTGGTGGCAATTGCCAACATCAATTTAGAGACAAGCTGTACCGTCGCAAGAAACCATTTTACTGCTCATAGCTACAGAACGCTTCAATATAGCCTTTGTCTTCCAACGTAGCTTTAGAACCGCGTGTTCTTGTCTTCCTGTTTGCAATATGTACATTTCTGTACACAAGTGGATTGCAACCAATCAATATTTCGCGCCTGTTTCAGCACCGTTTCAGGATCATCTCGTTTATTATCCAAAAAATAACCATAATATTATCAGAATGTTCGAGTACAACGTTGAGAAAGTGTAGTTGCTAATTGTTCACGCGTCCACATGTATTGAGGGAGATTTGAAAATCCAAAATAAACGCAAAACCAAAAAACTAAAAAATCGAAAAAAAAATAGTTTATGTGGTTGAAAAGAATTCAAACTCCGTCGTGAGGTTATTCATGTGGTAGTAAATATAAAACAGTGGGAGTGAGGCTTCTCTGCTTACTCGGAAAAACTCAGGTCCGAAAGGGTTAGTAAGCGCGCAAACGGCGAGAAAATGCGTTTTTTAAGGCCTTCCAATCTGATATAGGACGGTTCAGGCTATACTTTGGACGGAATCGATTAATCGATTATTCGAATAAATCATTCTATTGCGAATGATGCGAAAAATCGAATATTCGAAAGTATGAGATTTCGAATAATGTTCGATAGTCGAATATTCGGAGATCTCAACTTTTCAATATTATTCGATAATCGAATAGTCCACTCGACACTGCAATCGCAAACTCCCACTTTGTTTGGACACTGTCTTCAGCGCCTTGAATAGCTATATTTGAACACAATGATAATCTTATATATAAAGCTGAATGTCTGTTTGTATGTCTGTATGTATGTCTGTATGTATGTATGTACGTATGTTCCGAATAGAAAATTCCATTTCTGAACCGATCCGGACCAAACTTGGCACACATACACTTCGGGCCCCGGCGGGTGTCACAGTCCACTTTTCGTCATCGATCGATATTGATTTTATCGATTTTTTGCAAAATTTGAGCTACAGGGCTGGGAGTTGGCACAGGGGGGTAATCGAGCATGCTGATCACCCCTACGGGTGTGATCAGCATGCTCGATTACACCCCTCTGCCAAATTCCAGCCCCTAGCTCAAATTTTGCAAAAAATCGATAAAATCGACATCGATCGATAACGAAAAGTGGACTGTGACACCCGCCGGGGCCCGAAGTGTATGTGTGCCAAGTTTGGTCCGGATCGGTTGAGAAATGGAATTTTCTATTTGGAACATACGGCGCAGCCGGGTAAGCCAGCTAGTAATAGATAAATAGGAAATGAGAATGTGATGGGACTACTGCATGTTTAGGGACGTGTAAAGTTTTATATTACACAGCCATATAAAACACAAATTGGCACGATGCCAAGAAATCCAAAATTAGCAAAAGACTGACTGGCTTGTGATGACCAGTCTGCAAGTCATGGCAAGTGATTTCAATGAATTTGGCATATGATCTTACGATATTTAGCATCATCCCAAGAAGTCGCAACAGATCGTTTTTTGAGGAGCTTTTCAACGTTTAGAGCTCAAAGTCAAAGGGGACTTCGCAAAATTTCGCTAAAGTCAAGAGGGACTTCGTTTTCAAGAAGCCTAGAAACGAACTCATGCCTGCTCTTATCCACGGATCTGGGGGAGAGGATTGGCAAACAAATTTCCATTGTATCTTACGTAGTGATTTCGATTTTACGATTTTTCCCAATAAAACAACTAACATTATAGGAGAGGGCACTTAGGAAACATCTACGTCTTTTTTTCTAGAATTCGATCATTCTCTTTAAACCTCAAATCTGGAAATTCCTCTGCAGCCTCAGCGCCTCCGTGAGCGAGTTGTTGGGTCTCAATTGCAGGAACAGATGGACAAAAATCGGGTATTACACGTGAAATGCGGGGCAATGTGTAAATGCAGAGGAGTCCTACACATTCTACACCTTCCTTCGATTACGGTAACAGTCTGACTTCTGCCTTATAATCTTGTGATAAGCAGTCACATTTAGCACTGAATAATTCGACGGAGAAAACTCGACCCAAGAAAGATCAGTATAATGACAAGGCCTTCTCCTGTAAAAAAGGCACCGGTCATGACAATTTCGGTAACAAAGCGAGGTAGCAGGATCCTCTAAAGACTCGCCACTTCTTCTCCAAGCGCACCCTGTAGAAGCAATATTCACTCGCACGTATCTGCACATTCCTGCAATGGTTGCCCTCCGGGCGTCGCCTTGTTCCTCCTGGCATTAATTCGAAAGATCTTCATAAATGGCGTTTCCTCAGAATAAAAAAGAGTGAAAAGGGGTGAGAAGCACTTGACAAAATAGGCGAACCGCAAGACAAGTACGTTCAGTTGTAGCGATTGAGATGTAGTAGATAGCAAGTTGCAAACGAAGACTATCCACTTTACATTTGTGGAGCATAAGGTATGAGCATATCTTCAAATATATATGGCTGCAAAAACAGACCATGCATACATAATTTTTCCTCAGCTCGCTGAGCCGCTTGGACTTGCCTTTTTTATAACCAACATTTTCATATTGGTGTGCAATTTAATAGGACCAAATTCAAAGCTTTTTGCTTGTTAAGTTTTTGCAAGTGCCAATCATAAGATGCTGTTTGACTCAAGTTCTTTTTCTGTACATTTCCCCCTTTAAAAAGATAAGAACGCATCTCGTCTGTGTGCTCTTCGCTAGAAGTGTGTTTTTTGAAAAGGGTGAATAGAACTGATAAAATATATTGATTGGACAAACAACAGTGTAGCTATATTTCCCCGCTATACTATCTAGCTTCGATGGCTACGACGAAGAGTACTTTTGATTTGCTTATTTTATTAGTGCTTCACATAATTCTTTTTTCTTTGGTTATTACTGAGGAATCGCCTAAATGCGGTGACCTTTCCAGTCAGCCAGGAGAAACAAGGCGTTTGTCGAGAGGGGAACGATGTGCGAATGTGATGCGCGAATGTGAGACATAAGAGCGGGATAAGCCCAAAAAATTGATTGCGTTCGAAGGGGGGCTTGGAGAAGAAGCAGCAGGCATTTGGAGGATCCTGCACGTCCTCCCAGTATAAGAGAAGTGCGGTCGCCACTTTCAAAAGCAAGTGATTGCTCATTTTAAAAGTGCTCCATGTGCAAAGGTTACTGCAAAAAGTGCGGACACTCCGGCAATTCAAGACTCTTTACATCACCAAAGTGCATTCGACGTGATACTGATTACATTTTATTACAATCTTCAAACATCAGCCTTCCCATCCGCTGAAAAACTACGAATCTTGACACAGTCAAAGCGATACTCGCTGATCACCAGCGGAACGCCACAGCGCGCGGCGTACCTCCTGACGTGCAGCCGTTTGAGCATGACCTGCTGTAATACGAGTATTTTTCCTGCCCAGATGCCTGTCAAATTACGCCACACCTATTCACTACAGCATTCTAGCAAAGTGTTATAGTGTGAGTCGCCTCTCTCAATTGAGCCGTCAGGCTGTACAGTACAGCAAGCCATTCAGCTCCAACATAAGCGGTTGTTCCTCATAGGTTTACGCTGAAGCCATAAAGCCATTCAGTGCATTTTGCAGATAATGTGTGAGAACATCAAGTAAACAATAAATCTTCTGACAAATGAGATTACATACAGAACATGCGCAACATAACCAAGTAACGGAAAGGCTATTCAAAAAAAAAAACTTCTCGGTTCCATAACAAATTTGGATGCAGCTGTTCGCCAGCTCGAATGTGGCCAGCATAGACCACAGAAGAAGATCCACTTTCTCGGTCAATGCATATACAAATGCGTTTGACGGGGCCAGCGCTGCGTATGCAGTAACACGCCTGCGCGCGAGCGCTATCGTGGACTGCAGCGTGCAGGAACCATGCCGCGCAAAAAGGCGTTCCTTATTTTAGCTACTCTTCCTGCTTCTTTCTTAGCTTTTTCGCTGTCCTGCTTCCAAATTTCTGAGCTTTTACTGCCTGAAACTCTACTTCGGTACTTCCTGAAATCTCTCAAAGTATCACCGCGCGTATGGAAGACAATATGGAGATCTATGGTCTAAAAGAAGATCTAATCTAAATCATTTCATTTGAGAATTCTGAGAACGGCTGGTGCTCTTCCTGCTTGCAGCTGAAGGTAAATATGTGAGGTGTAATTCGTATATCGTGCAGGTTGAGAGAACAATTTGAGTGAAAAGCGCGTTGGTGCTGTTCACTCAAACCTAAACGATATGGCCTGGACTAAACGATATGGCCTGGATGAAATGGAAGATGTCAAGAGGAAAAGCGCTCAAGAACTTGATACCTCTTTCCTGCGAAAAAAATCATACCCGGTATCAAGACAGATCGCATGTGAGCACAGAAGCAAGAAAAATGGCAGTCTACTGCTACAAAAACGGAAAATCACGAGTTGCAATGATAAAAACAAGGCGCGCGATGTTGTGCGCAGAAGGTCCCTGCACGCTGCGGTACGGTGACGCTCCCGCTTAGATGTGTGACTGCACTACGCGGCGCTGGCCTCGATAAAAGCATTTATAAATGGAGCAACCCTATAGTTTTTATCTTGACTGCTAATCAAACAGCTGCATAACGAATATTGGACTTACTAAATTTGATAACATACAATTTTTGTGGAATCATGAGGTTTATACTGAAAAACGAACGAGATATAACTCATCTGCAGAATCGCTATCAGAGCCTCGACGAGATGAGCGAGGTTTGATGGAAATCCGGCATTATTAGGAAACGATAGCTATGTACGAAACATCGCGACAAAATATACGGACACGTAATCAGTCAAGAATACACTGAAGCAATCTCTGAAAAATGACAAAAACAGAAACCTGGTAATTCCTTCCGTAGTAAAGATACACAAATAGGAGAAACTAATCGGTAAGAGAACAAGTCTGCATGTATTGCTACATAAATCCCATTCCTGTGGATAAATTCTTAAGCGTCTCACTCTGAGGAACAAATCTTTCCCTTCCGGCTCAGCAACTCATCAGATGAAAAAGGTAACAGCACTCCAGCAAATGCTTGTTCAATTACGCTACAGCTTCCCCTCTCTGGACTCGTCGCGAAAAGAAGCAAACAACTTCAATAAATCAAGAAAAAATTCACATGCAATCGCAACTGCGTTCACCGGCTTCACGTCGACTCGTAGAATGTAGTGATATATAGGCACTAAGGAGATCGTTTGCTAAAAGCTGGCCTCGAAATTTGCCATCAACTCCATCTGGCTTGTAAGATCAACATCTTTTGCTAATTCTCGCATTCTTCTTTCCTGTAATGATGACATTTATGATATGACTTGGGAAAGACTAGAATGAAAACAGCACCTGCTCTCTTCGTCGGAGCATCGCTCCTTCGTGCGTGAGCACATAATTATGATTCGGCGAAGAACTGCTTCCGGGAGTACCTCCAGCAGAAGAGTGTTCGCCAAGCGAGTCACGAGAGTGATCGCGACGGCCTTCCCGCTGCTGCTCTCTGCCTGAGTCGCGCACTTCATCCCGCTGTCGCTCCATGCCCGCTGCGCTCCTAGTTTCAAGACGGTGAACATCCCCTTTTTCAAAGGCTCCTCCGCCAGTAGCACGTTGACCGTCTCTTTCGCGACGGCGCTGTTCCTCATCCATTCGCAATTGTTTTCTCTGCAATGTGTGTACCAATACAACTTATTTGCACTTCGACCAAATAACAAACCTTCTCCTCTTTGATTTTGGCTTGAAGTTTGAACTGCTCCAGTTGTGCGGCTGCTTTCATCGACATGACAGAGGTAGGATGAGGCTGCAGGTGCTCCAAAACAGGGACATCTGCAATCTTGTCACTAGGGTGCAATTATGGTTGATTGTACAACATGAATCAAGTTCACTAGGAACAATGCGTTCGACTGTGACTTACTCTTCACAACTTTAACAGGCTTTGCATGCGAACGCCCATCTAAAACATATGCAGGTAGTCGCATATTTTAATACATGAACTCATACCTGCTGAAGGTGGACGAACTTCGCTTGGATCTGGAGGGAGCAGCTGGTCAAGAATCGATGTCCCTACAACAGAACTTGCTTCATACAAAGAAGTTTCTTGTACCCTCTGAATCATTGGGAGTGACAAATGGGTGAGGCTCGGCCCCCGCGCGGCCGCCTCGCCCCCCCGAGAACGGGTCGCGAAATTTTTGAAAGTTATTACATGAGTTATAAAAATGTGCAAGTGTTTGTTTATTTTTGTAAACAAATGAAATAATTTTTAAAAATTTTTAAAAATTCAAATTGGCCTTATGAAAAATTTTTTTTCGGGGGCGTGGTTTGGGGTCAGAGGCCCGGAAAAACATTGAGAAGCCACCCTAAAATTTTTTCGGAGTGCGTGGCTCCCGAAAAAAATTTTTTTATAGGGCTAATTTGAATTTTTAAAAAATTTTAAAAATTATTTTAATTGTTTGCAAAAATAAACAAGTCACTTGCACATTTTTATAACTCATGCAAGTAACTTTCAAAAATTTCGCGACCCGTTCTCGGGGGGGGGCGCGCGCCCCCCCCCCCCCCCGCCCCCCCCCCTCGGTACGCCACTGATATATATATATGTATATATATATATATATATATATATATATCAGTAGCATTTTTGAAAGAATGTGCAAGTGTCTTGTTCATACTTTTGAGTGGTTAAAATGATTTTTAAAAATAAAATAAAAACTTCTACAAGGCCAATATGAATTTTTTGCAAAGTCCAGGAATTTTATAACCCAAGTACACTTCAATTCAACAGGATTGGCGGTTAGAAGGCGACTGCTCGCCCTGCGACGCAGTCTGCGTCTCTCGCGAGCGTGCTCTCGAATCATTCCCTAGCCTTGATTAGGCCTCAAAGTCCCGCCTTCCAGCCGCCAATCTCGTTGAATCAAAGGGTAATTTTCAGAAATTTCACAAGCAGTGGTATCAACGCAGAGTACTAGGGTGGCACGCCACGCCCCAAAAAATTTTTTTTGTAGGGCCAAAATGAATTCTTTTAACAATTTCAAACATTATTTCAATTAATCACAAGTATAAACAAGTCACTTGCACATTTATTATAACTCGTATAAGTAACTTTAAGAAACTTTGCAATCCATTCTTAGCCCCCCTCCCCTCGGTACTCCACTGATGCTCTGTCGAATCGTTAGATGGATTGGGAGGGTTGATATAAAAGTCTAGAAAAATTGTGAAACTTGACCATCTCAAAAAGCATGGGTTACAGATTTTGGTTATTTTCCCAGAGCTTACTGACTGTGCTGCAACGCTTTTATAATCATCAGAAAGAAGATGGAATGCTGCATCGAATGCTTCCAAGATCTCTTAGAAATCTTTGTTAATCTTTGTTACACAAAGTGTAACCTTTATTCGAGAAAAGCGACATTACTTATGGAACGACCTAATACAAAGTATCCCAAAATGATGTGAAACTGTGAATCGTTAGAGAACTCTCTTGGTTTCATGTCTTTCGCCGAGTTTGAGGTACCATTTTGTAGGAAAAAGTTCAAATTAGATTTACAGTATGAACCAAATCATCAATCACTTTTCATTACTAAAAGATTAGAATATGAACTTTCAGCATAAGCGCCGTTGTGGAATAGGCCTTTTGATAGAAAAAATTCCAAAAATGGAATTTTATTTAGCAAGATTTTCAGGCTGCTGATTTCACTACACAACTTTTCACCTTTTGAGCTCTTTCAATGGTGTAATCACACTCCTGACGAACATTGGATAACAATTGTTACCGTAAACAATTTTGGAAGAAACATTACAGTGAAGTGCAAATTTCATATTTAGAATCAGCGACTTCAATTAGTCCAGTACAGGAGTTTTTCTGGTTTACTGAATTCCCTTCTGAAGCGAAAATCGCTTTACTTTCTAAAGTCCATTTCGAAATTGATAGCATGATCTTACAGTAATGAAGAGTGATTGACGATTCGGTGAAATAGTATGGGAAAATTTGAGAGTTAGAAGTTTGAACGAAATTACTCAAGATTGACGTTTTTCAAGCAGTGTCAAGAAAAATTCTGAAGTGTTTTTGTAGGATGAGAAATTCATGTGCATCACTGTAGTGCCTTTGCTATGAAGTGAAACGAGAAAATGTGAGAGCTAGAATCGAGTGAAGAAAATTACTTCAATCTTGCAAATTTTGAGAATGCTCAAAAAACCTAGAAACGTCAAAGATCAAAACAGCCATAAACATGGGTTTTTGTGATCTCCTCTTCTTGGCTGAACAAAATTCACGCTAATCTAGAGCAGATTTGATTTCCGCGTATTGTTCGGATTTTCGTGCCTGCATTAAGAAAAAGATTAGCATGAATTTTGCTCGGCTAGAAAGAGGAGATCACGAAACTCATGTTTATGACTGTTTCCGTTTCTGATTTGACGTTTCTAGCATGCTCAAAAATTGCAAGGCTGAAGTAGCTCTCTTTATCTGCTTCTGACCTTTGAACTATCTCATACTAACTCAAGGCAAGGTGCCAGTATAATGTGCAAAATTTTCTCGTTTAGACAAAAATACTTCCGGAATTTTTTGGATTCTGCTTGAAAGATGCCAATCTTGACCAGTTTCATTCAACTGTTTCTAGCTCTCAATTTTCCCATACTGATTCACGGCAGAGTTACTACTGTAAAGAGCATGATTTTATTTTTCAAAGAAGAATAATTTTGAGAGAATTCATTTAGAAGAAAGGTAGTGACCTGATATCATTCTATATGTATAAAGCAGAAAATCTGTGTGTCTGTGTGTCTGTGCATAGTCATGAAGGATGAGCGGTGAGGCTCATTTTGATCTGCTGGTCATCTGGTACGGATGGTAGGAAGCGAGTCGGATTCAAAAAGGGTAAATTTCGCTACATGAGAGATCAAACACAATGGACTGGCTCCAGAACGGAAGGTGCGTGGCACTCTGAAAGGCACTAAAAATCTTTGGAGTGCTTCTCAAAATTTTTGCGGACCCATAACCCCTAAAATCTAGAAAAAGGACGCACGGCGGCATCCACGTCTCCAAAAAATTTTTTTACAAAGTTGATCTGAATTATATAATAAACGTCACAGTCTTTACCTGTGGTTCAAACCTTCGAATAAACTTAGTAACACAAAATAATCATACCGGCAATATTCGAGGGTGAAGTGCCGCTCTTGTCACTATCGGGGAGCAGTTTGTCGAGAATTGAAACATCTCAAACAAGCTCCCATATCGAAGTTATAATGATTAAACAAACGAACAAACCTGATGCCGATGGAGGGGTTTTTAGTTTGGTGTCCAAAGGAAGTAACTGATCCAATACTGACGCGCCTGGTATTTGAAAATGTAACATTGGCAAGGATACAATGATATACAGTAATCACCTTTATCTGAAACTGCTGCTGAAGTCGCACGAGCATGTGCATCTCGACTACCCTCTAAAAATTCACAAGTTGTGCTATGAAGGTCTAATTGTCCTAGGATTTCCACGGAACACCATTTGCAGCAAATTGTGTACTGTCGATTCCTTTGGCGTTCTCATCCTTGATGTATCGAGAAAGCAACCCTTTGTGCAGGTGTTTTCGATGATTCTCCAATGTTTTCTTTCCTTTTTAGGTACTATTCACCTCAAAGTGATGTATGCGATAGCAATCGGTCGGTTTCCTGCGTTTTACGATCGCAAATCCAGGATGAGGACGCCAAAGATGGGATCATGTGTGCGGGTACACACATGATCATATGAAATGATTCGACTGTACCCGGATTGCGTCTCAAGAGACCAAAACAGTAGGTAATCATCTGAATGGGAGCCCACCAAACTGATAGGTGCTCCGCGAAGAATAGAATACGGGAGCAATGTCAATCTTGGAGCCCCTGAGGCGCACGGTTCTTAGAGAAGAATATTTGATCAGAGTGCAATATCTATATAAGACGTATACGTTTTACTGAGCAAGGAACGCTGGTTCCGAATCTGCTTTCGGTATCTGCAAAGCGCTCTGGGAGCTTTTCAAGGCAAAAATTCAAGGTTTTGGCTAAGGTAAAAGCAGTTATTGAAGTTTTTCCGGTGTTTGAAAGGAGTAACGATTTGCGCAAATTTATTAGACTGAAGTCATTGACTGCAGGAAGCGCCCTGGCAGTAATCGTGATCCCCTCCATGCTCACAAATTATAGTTCCGAATGATTTTATTGTAGCTGCGTCTCGAAATTTTCGCGTCAGAAAATTTCCATAACTCTACTCTTAGAAGCGCTTTGCAGATACCGAACGGGATTCGGAATAAGCGTTCCAGGCTCTAAAAGACAGTCTACATTTCCTATGGAAACGCCATTTCGACCAAGTATTCTTCCCTTGACATGGCTCGACGAAACTGCGACTTCGATGTTTCCATTTCCCTAGACCTTCTGGATGCGCTGAGTCTAGGAAAGCGCCTGATATTTCTCCAAGTTGTCGAAAAGTGCTTTTTACGCCGTTTTCGGTCTTGGAGAGAATCTCCACCCAAATAAAGCATTTACCCAATTTGGCGGCAATCGGCTAATTCAGGCAACCAATCGCTCTTTAGTTGGTGACAATCCCTCGTCCAGCCCCCAACAATCTTTAGACCAAAATGATCAAAAACGCAATAAGAAGCACGTTTTCGATACCTTTGACAGATTTGGAGCCAGCGTCAGGGCAAAATTTCTAATGGAGTTTTTAAGCTTACCTGAGCTTATCCTTCGCGCTGATTCAAATGCAGCGGAGAGCACGAAAATATCGATGACTGGCCATTTTAGAAGCCCTCGTTTTAATATTTGGCCTGCGCAAAGGCAGGCGAATTCAAACCGAGGGCTTCTGAAAGACCACGGGATCTAAGCTGTGAAACACATATATAGGACATTCGAAAAATCGTGACGATGGCGCGAACGCGCGCGGCACGCACGCCCTTCCGGAAACCGCAGTTTCTCGGTTTCCATCCCTACTCCAATGGCCTTTCTATTTACGTATGATAGTACTTAGACACTAGAAGTGACTGAACTGAGCGTTGAGGTGATGCCTTTTTGTATGAATGTTTTATGCTCCTGTGCGTGCAAAGACCGCAGTGGAATCCGCCGTCACGATTTTATAAATGACCTATATGTTTGCCACCTTCCCTTGCAATGTACGTAGTAGCGCAGCTTTAGCATACTATCGTAACCCGATATTTGCTGTGAACATAGTGAAGATACGACTATATCTTCTTCCGAAAACTACGATTTCGGATGAAATTTCTACTGCGAAAAGAAGGTTTGGCGGTCCAGCGATTAAAAGCCTAAGTGTACAAATGCTTTGAAGGTAAGTTAACAGGGTGTGGCACAAGCACAAAGGTGTGGCAACACAGCCTTTTTAGAGTTGTCCCACACCCCATTAACTTACCTCTGTAAAGACTTTTAGCAACAATGTTTACATGATTCAATAAAAAGATCGTTGTTCACAGCAATAACTACAGCCTGTTCTCTTCATTACTCTATATAAAAGTTGCTGAAAGCAAACTGAAAGCAAAAATTAGGTCAAACGAGATTCTGGCTGGCTCCTAATTTCACAGTTTGGCGTTGATCTGGAGAGATTCCTCACATGGGCAAAAATGGGGCAGTACTTTATATTAGGTTGGTCCGAAAGTTCTGTCGCACCATCTTCACAAATATATAACTTCTGAGTTTCGAAACCAAATTGTTGCATTGGTAACAGAACCTATAATACTGATAGCTCCGGTTTTTACTGCAACTTTCGGATTTTTTATACCCTACACAGAAAATTCAAAATTTGAGTAATTTTCTTCTACCGCCCCTATCTATGCAATGAATGCTCATTAGGAAGCCGCTAAGATACCGCTATGAAGAGAAATTCGCTCTTTTAAACAAAAATGAAAGCAAGCAAATTGGTTGCGAAACCCAAAAGTTATGGATTTTTGAAGATGGTGAGACAGAACATTTGAGCCAACCTAATACTTGGTACAATAAGGAGTAGCTAACTGACAAATAAAACCAAGTTAATCATATCCGAAGATGACCACTTCACTTGGGTGGCCCAATAACAAAAGCCTCAGATTTCGCTAAAACTTGGTCCACAAGGGTCACTTAATAACAAATCACGAAAATGTTTTTCATTATGTTTGCGTGGCCTCATTTCTAACATAAGTAGACATTATGCTTGGGGGGGGAGGGGTAGGCCTCTTGCTCGACCCTGCCTATCACACTTCAACTACTAGCCGCATTCAAAATTCAGCAATTCCGACTTGAACTGCGTGCAAGAACCCTCATGAAGCACAACTCATGTGACTTTAACCCTGCTTACATTTTCATACAGCGAAAGCTTCGCGATAAATAATTAGCAGATACTTGAGCAGTTTACAGTATTGGCCGCTCCATCTCATTGTCTTTGAACTCATGTGACTTTAATCTTTTTTCTTTTTTTTCGAGAAAAGTGAGATGACCACTCGAACAAAATCACAAATTACGTTTCTAGATGTTTCAAGACATGCATGCTGAGATAGCATTTAACAATGAAACACACTCTAAAAAAGAGTTAGAAAACCCACCGGACAAGTGCTTTGTTTGCGTCAAGGCATTCTTCTTAGCTTCTGGGACACGCTTTTTCACAGTCACATGTTTAGCTTTGCCTTTAGGAAGCGAGGGCTCTGTATGGGAGGAGTCGTCAGGACAGTGTTCGTGTGAGTCCAAGTTCTTTGCTTCAGCAGTCATCATCGATTCTTCAACAGGAACAGTGCTACAACTAGTTACAGGTACAGGAGGGGCACTGCGAGTGCGCACACGAGCGGATTCTTCCATTTCAGAAAGGTTACCATGGCCAGAATCAGGAGACATCTGTGTGCGAGTTTTCAAGCCGGGAGAAGGAGGCACAGAACTCGACCGAGAGTAGTTCGAATTACTAGACCGTAGATGCACAGACACATCAGCGACTGAAGTTACGGATGATGGATCCTCGTTTGATTCATCATGTAGTTTTTCTGGGTCTCCATTCTGATTCACACTCGGTACTTCCGTTGCCGCAGAAGGTGTATTAGATAAGGGACTTGCAGCTTTTGACGAAGGTGCAGCTTTAGAGGACGGGGGTGGGGGAAGCAATGTAGTTGCGGAAAGAGTAGCGGCTTGGTCTTCATTAGTAGATGGAGCTGTCTCAGAAGGGACAGGCAATGTAATTCGTGCACTTCGCTTTCGCGTCTGACGAGCAGGCAAAACCGGAGGAGGACGAGGTCGAGGACTCTTGCGATGTGTTTTCGCAACAATTTCTGAGTTTGGAGCACGTGGAGCAACTGAAGACGCTGGTTCTTCAATCTGCACATTTCCTGACTTTCTGGAAAACTTCATCCGCATCGATTTCGATCCATCCGATATCACTTCTGAAAGGGGACTAGGTACAATTACAATCGTATTACAGCTTTAGAGCTCAAATTCATCCCTTTGAGAAGTACACAATTCCTCACGAAGCACACATAGTACTGGACAATACTGTGACTCGTGCTATTTAAAGTATACTCGTAATCAAACAATCAGATCTACACATTGATACCCCCTCTGGGCATGCCGATAATGGTGTTCATATATTCTATCTTTCCATACTCCATATTTGGTGAAAATTCCTGAACATCCCTCATAGTTAAATTGCGTCTAGCGCCTGAATGCTTTAGGGTCTACATACTCTGCAAGATTTCTAAGCTGAAATCTGATGAATAAGTCCGCTTATCAAAGAAACTGGACTTTCACCCCAAATCATGTATTAGGTTGGCACATAAGTAATACAACTTTTTATATAACTCTCTGGCAATATAAAAATTATGATATAAACTTCAAACGCAGACTTTTTTGCCGAATTTTGCCATCTCACTTGAGGGTTACGGTTGATTTACGGTATAGTGGGGAGAATTTCAGACCCCGTCAGATCTTGCTGAAACTTGGCCTATAGGAGTTATCCAACATACTGATCACAAAACGAGACCCGTCTCGCATGAAAAGCCCTCCTTCGTAAGTTCAAGTAATGAAATTTCTTGGCGATAAATGAATATGATATTCGTGTCCACCATATAGGATTAGCCTATTGAGCAAAGTTTTAGCGAAGTCCAACTTTTCGCAGCTTAGTTATTGACAGATGGCCCTCCAATTTTGACGCATTCGACTTGTTCAACTATACGAAAAGCCTATCTTGATTTGTCTTTAAATTTCATTTCTTTCTGCTGATTCTAGGGTATCAACTTCTAGCTACATGTTGCCTATAATTGCTTTTTGATATATTACCAGGTTTTGTACGTCGTCATCTTTGCCAAAAAACCGTGAAACCTCAGCTATCAATAGTTTTCGAAAAATACTCAAATTTTCCCCACTAAGTTATCAAAAATTAAACGGTTTGCGCAGACTTGCAGCTTACACCACAGCCTACATGATGCCAGAGTATGAGTATGCTAAACAGAAAAAAGTTAAGGAAAAGTTGCAAAACTTATGTGCCGACCTAATAAATTTCATGTTGCAAGGAAATAGGCTCGTTGTCTCAGTCGAAACTTAGAGCGCTCAGAAATGCATAGTGAACGTGGAAAAGAAGGAAGGGAAAAGGAGAGGAGGGATGGAGGTGAAGGGGGGGGGAGCTTAGATGCCTTTCAAAAGTGGACAAAGACGCGGTTATACTACCAAGATGATAGTCTCTCAGCTTCAAAACAAAATTCGGCCAAGACGGGATTCTAGCAGAATAGCTTCTGTATTATTCGAAATCCGTTCTCGAGCTCTTTCGTTGTTGTACAAGTTGTAGGACAGGTCTAATCCCTTACATAGTTTTTTCTTTATCTCCACCGTACCACTTCAAACCAATGCAAGTGCGCAGCTTTTTCCGTGCACTGGGATGTGCGTCCATAACTCAAAAGTGATTTGAGAGCTCTCCAAAAATCTTCCGACTGCATATAGCGAGCCTTTCCCCTTGCAGCTTATGAAGCTACAGGGATCAATTGCAGAGTCGGGTGCACCAGCACCTCCGCTCTCGCGTCACCGCCTTGCCTGAACTTCGTGCCTTTTTCGCGAACAGCTCATCATTTTCGCACTCTTAATTAGAGATTGAAGCTCCGCCTTTCCTACGCTGGTGTTGGGGAACTGATTAGAGAGCATGTTCACGAAAGAGGTGCGGAGTCCAGGGGAGCTGGCCGCGCGGGAGCGGAGATGCTGGTGCACCCAACTCTGCAATTGATAAGTCTTGTAAATAGTTTCCAAACTAGGAATGCAAGCTTTTTCATAAGAGCGCTATGGAGAAATATGGAAGTACTTTTAAGAATAGTTCTTGTTCTTCACTTTTTGAGTTCATAAAATGGGGTTTTACGCAAGACAAAAGTGGTGATATATGAATTTTTCGAACGCAGGCACGGAGTATCTTTCGCATAAGAGGAAAGCAGTAATCCGCAGAGCTGGTGCCTACAAAAACATTGGTATGCGAGTACGCTATACAAACCGGTATGGGCAACTTCTGCCGCGCGAGATTACACGCTCGCATGCGCAGGATGTTACGGGTCAGATGGCCCTTTTTCGAACACTATTGTACAAAAGATACTGCGCGTATGTATAGATTTTGGTGGACCCTCCTCTTTCGAAGACTACCTGATGCAGAGAACATCCCAACATCACCAAGTGCAAAACAATGCTTTATTCAGTAAGGATCTGCTTTACCTCTAAGTGTGAAGAGCGTATGAAACGAACTAGTTCTCAACCCAGTTTGGAATGCCTTCATACCGCGCCGGCAGCTGCCGCTGGCCGCTTCTGCGCCCTACCCCAATATCCGAGCCAGCCGAAATCATGAATCGCGCTCAAATTTGTTTGGTAGGGTTATTCGCCATGTCGATTACAAATAGCATAATCTTATTACGTTTGAAAAGGCCTTCGAATACAGAGGTAGTGCATAAAAGCGGCTACAGACGGCTAGCGGCGGCTGCCGTCGCGGTATAATTATAAGGCCTAAGGCATACCTCGCGCAATTTCGTCAAATGGCTACATCCACGCGACTTGGCAGTTTGCCATATACAGAGTGTCCCAAAAAGATGTGCACACTTTTTGATCGTTAATCTTTTTCTTTCAATCTCTTTCTTTCATGTCTTTTACCGAGCTTAAGGTACCATTCTGTAGAGCGAGGTTCATCTTAGATTTACAGTATGGATCGAATCACCAGTCATTCTTCGTTACTGTAAGATTACGGTATGAGATTTCAGCCTACAGCTTCGCTGTGGAATAGGCCATTTGGTGAAATAATTTCAAAAAAAAAATCTGAAAATTTGTGTGGCAAGGTTTCCAGGCGTGCTCATTTCACTACCTAACTTTTCATGATTTTTTCGAGCTTTCTTGATGGGTATTCACATTTCTGATGAACTTTGGGAAAACAGTTTTTACCCTAAATCCGAAATAACTTATGAATGAAGCATTATATCGGAGTGCAAATTTTATATTTGAAATCAGCGACTTCGACTGCCCCACTTCACGAGTTTTCGGCTAATTTGGCTTTCTTTCTGAGGCAAAATACCGCTTTCAATGGCTTAAAATTCTCCTCGAAGTTCCTACCGTAATCTTACAGTGATGAAAAGCGATCGATCATTCGCTCCATACAGCAAATCTAAGTTAAACCTCGCTCTACAGAATGGCACCTCAAGCTCTGCAAATGACATGAAAGAGGAGGGTTATTAACGATCAAACAGTGTGCACATCTTTTTGAAACACCCTGTATTTACAGATCAATCGTGTGCGGGAATGCATAGCCGCGTATCTAGTAAGTTATAGCAGAAGCTTTAAGTCTGGCCCATGCAAAGCGCGCTAACGACCAGTTAAAGGCAGTGTCCGGGCAAAAACTCGATTTTGAGATTTTGTGCTTACCCGGGCCTATTCGCTACGCTGAACCCGAAAATCTACACTGAAAAGGGCGAAAACGGCGAAAAAGGGCTCTAACGCAGGAGAGAAATCAAAAGTGGGCGGGGTCTTCCCCAGGGTGAATTCACCGTCCCAGCTCCCGGAGCGATCTTTTCGCTTCCGACTTCAGATCATGCATTCGCACTTGGTCCGTTGAGATGTCAGGGCGGTTATTGGAATTGAAAAGATCGCTCCGAAAGCTGGGACTGTGAATTCACCTTGGGGAAGACCCCGCTCACTTTTGATTTCGGTCCTGCGTTAGAGCCCTTTTTCGCCGTTTTCGCGCTTTCCAATGTGGATTTTCGGATTCAGCATGACGAATAGGTCCGTGTAAGCACAAAATCTCGAAATCGAGTTGCCCGGACACTCTTTGAAAAGAGTCGCTGCAGTGCCAGATCGCGCAGCGACTGGAATCGCGTAGGCAGGCCTTAAGCCTTAGGCAGAAATGGGATGGCGGGAATCCGCTACGCAAGATTCGCGCCGTTTCGCAGCTGCAGTATGTCAAATCAGCTGCACGTCAGGAGGTACGCGCGCGTGGTGGCCGTTTTAGCGGGCCGACGCGCTCAGAATTTGTGCCCCAGAAACTCTCCGAGGGGGGGGGGTGCAGATACATGGCTCGATGACATAAGTTATATTGCAAAAAAAGTGCTGGATCTTCCGATTCTCCTATCATATCGTGCTAAGACGGCATGTTTGCATCTCTTCACATGATTTTTGCTTGGCAAATTATAGGCCGTCCGCGCAGCGCACGGAGAGCAACGCTGTTGCGTACATTGAAGGCAGTTCACGACTGGAAGAAGCGCAGAGAAAAACAGGCGGCGAGAGTGCACGAGGAAAGAGGAGTAACGCACAATACACACCTTGTGCACTCTCCGCGTCCTGCGCGGACGGCCTATACCATGTGCACTCCAAAGCCTTAATGCGGACACGCTGCTCCACGAGGAATGCTCCGCCTACTCCGGGTTGAAACAGACTATACCCAACGTCTTTTTATATGACAATGAGATAAGAATAAAAACGTGGCATAACCATAGCTAAAAGAGCACGAATTCCATTTCAGCAATGACATGAACGTGCCTACTTCTATAACGCGCTCCAAATGCAGACCGAAATCCGTTCTGTCATGAATCTGAGTGCTCTGCGGACGTAAAATTTGTGCCCCTTTTATAGACAGCGCAGAACTCATTGTTAAGAAAGCCCATAGCAACACTAGCGAGTCTAATGGTTCGAATATCACTAAAGAAATTACGCAAATCTACGACATAACAAACATTACCAAAATAAACGCGCTAAACATCCGCAACCATAACAGCAGTTGTTGCAGATACCCTAAATTCTACAGGTGAGTCCGCTTTTCGACCGAGATAAGTGTCCTCAGATAGATCCGTCCTACAGATGTGAGTTTCTTTTTCATTATATCTCCCCCAAAATCTTATAAGTCCGAAGACTAACAAATAAGTCGGGACTTATCTGCAGACGGACTTATCTGATGAAGTGCCCATCTGTGAGATTTTAGGGTACCTCACATACACTCCATTCCAGTGATAGCACGTAAATCTAGGCACCCCCAGATACTCAATTTTACGATCTCGTACGGCAGTTGTTACGATGATGCGTTTGCTAGAACTACTTTAACGAACTGACATGCATTATAATAAATGTAAAAAAAGGAAAAAAAGTGACGGCGGGCAACTCGATCTCTCTGTATTGTGTGGTGATGAATGAAGTGACTGTGAACGGTTTATTATCACTTAAAAAGGTATCTACTTATATCTAGAGCCGTTATTAAAAACTGAGCAGATGAGATAATTTAAGCGAAATATGTTAGCCATATAAAACGTTCATGGCGTAGTAAAACAGGACAAAACATTACAACGAAATTAAGCATGAGATTCAATATAATAATTTTTTGTTTGTGTGTCAACAAATTGAAAACTAGATAATGAAGAAGATGTAGTGATTCTTATCAAATTGAAACGTATGACAGATTAATAAGTTAACAATCACATCAATCAGTTCAATAATTATGTACGAAACGATAATTAGTAACGAGACAACTGTACCAAATACGAGTACTGCGGCAACCCGACATGCCGCGTAGAGGGGAAAGTAATGCACCAACTCAAACGGAACGTGTTGTTTCCAGGGCTCCATATTTACAAAGATATAAAAGTATACCAATGACACCTATGTTTACCATTTTTCATGGGTTTCAGTAACGTGCAAAGAAAGCTTTGTGTTTATATATGACAAAAATTTAAAACTACGACGCTGGCAGGCTAAGACGGGGGTGGCGGGACGGGGGAACTCGACTCGGCCCGACTAGCCCGCCACCCAAACAGAGAGATCGAGTGCCCTTGCGCCGCCCATACACCGCCCGCCTAACCTGATTCTGAATCAGACGAGTCACTGCTGGACGAGGATGATGAGCCCGAACTACCCGATGAGCTTTCCGAAGATGAACGGGCACGATTTCCCGCATGTCGAGATGCATCCGCCGTTGATGCGCCTGGAACGTCGCCATTCACGCATATTACAAAATATTTCCTTTCGTGTTATCTAAGTATATCAACGTACCATTCTTGCTGGGCTGTTGCGTTGACACTGTGCCACCAAGCTTTTTGATTTTGTCCTCGATTTCGCGCTTCCGCGTTTCATTGTCACTTTTGACAGCTGCAGACAGCAAGCAGAGCATAGATACAAATTCGACTTATCACAGCAAACTCACTCTTACGTGGCTTTCGTTTCAAAGCCGCCGCAACAAAAGCCTCCAAATCACGAAGTGTGACTGCTTTCAGGGTCTCAAAATCAATCTCGATCTCCTCTGGACTGATGTCCTAAAAATGTTAAGCTGAAGCTCAAAAAATAAATGCGACACGCAGGTATACTCACAGATAAGTCCTCCCGACTCTCAATGATACTGACCACCATACTGAGCTTATCACCAGGTAGTTTGTTGATATCTAGGCTAAGCTGACGCTTTTCGTCATAAGACATGGGTTCATGCGAAGCCTCATCGCCAGAATCAAACTCGTAATCGTCCTTCCAAGGTTTTCCGTTTGCAGAGCTTTCCGCTTTCGGTTTGTTCTTAGATCCGGGTCGACGTCCACGACCGCAATAAAGTTTTGCCGGTTCAGAACTGGTGTGCGCTGTTGCTGGGCGTTTTAGATCTCTTCTCGGCTGGAGAACGCAAAATAAGGGTGCATATTTATGTAATAATGAAAACGCAAAATTTATACCATTGTTGAAACAGAAGTGGCTGGACCATTCGACAGTGGAGAATCCTCCTTGATATGAGTGACAACAGGAGCTCTACGAGCTCTCGTATTAGATGGTGTGTACGGCGGAACAGTAAAGGATGATGTCTGTGCCAAAAGTTTTTCCAGAGATTTTACTGCTTCAAGAATTGCACTTTGCGGAGCATCTTTGCTTTTCAACTCTCTTATCTCAGTGAGGCGAGAGGTGATATTTTCTGCAAACCCAAGCGACTTTTCCTTCAGATTTTCCCACTGAAAGCATCAGCTGATGAGACCAAATTACATGAATGATGGAACTAACGCTGCTGAGGTAACTTTCGAGATTGTCTTCGTCGTCGGCACCTTCGCAGGAAGTAGCCACAACATTTGTATCCGCCACGTCCTCATCTACCGGTAGATTTACCCACTGAATACTAGCAAGATGGAGAAAAACACCGTTAACTTTTTCAACTGACTCTTTCATTGAAAGCTTGTAAAAGAGCTCGGCCGTGTTGATGAATGATGTCTGTGGCAGGATTATATTTGAAGCAATTATTGCAGACCTGTAGAATGCAAGTATTTCGTTGGGACTTCAAAAGGGAAGAAGAAATCGGAACTCACTAGTCTGATGTCCTCGGCGAATTCTTGCGCATTGGCATATTGTTTATTATCTAACTTCTTCTTTATTGTTCCAAGGTCCATTGGATTCGGTATTATGTCATAATAATCGGACAAATTCATCCCTTCCACATCGACTGGGACAAGGAACGGCCAATTGAAAGACTGAACATAGCTTATAGCAACATGAATAAACTCTTCACTTCAGCATACCTTGCACTTCTTGCCCATCAACTCATGAAGGACCTTATGGCAGAATTTCATCGACTCTGTCGCTTTGCCCTTATATCTTGGAGGTAGTTGAGTGTAGTCGATGAAATGTGCCGGTTTCTTTATTGGTCGTGAAGACTCGCGACGGGGCACCTTCAAAATTGCAATTGATGAGCTGAAAGCTGAGCAATGTCAACCACCTTTCCGGAGTCTTCTTCGATGAGCACACCAGTGGTTGTATCAGCCTTTCTCTTAACACCTTTCTGCACTTTCAAAGGGTGTAGAGTTGACGTGCTTATCTGTAACCGACACTTGCGGATACGAAGAGAGAGCTATCTTACAGGAAGGCAATACCGGCACATCAAGTGTAGCTCCACTTGAGGATTCCTCGACAACATTTGGAACGTCGGAGTCTCCCAATACAGACGAGCTATCCGCGGCTCCCTTTTGGATGGACGACTCCCTCGATGCTGCAGAAACTTTCTTAGTGGCTATGATATACAATAACACAAAAATGATCTGTTCCAGCGTACATCAAAAGACTGCACAAGACAGGTGACACGATTTACATAACAAGACTAGCTGGTCAAACAAAAGTGAGTCAAAATTGTCGTGGAGGTCTGCAGCTTTCGTACAAGAACAATGCAAAAGATGAGCGGGACTATTCAGACCTCTGACCGTCGCGTTATGAAAATGCTCTAAGACGTGATGGGCATCCGGGCTCCCACCTCGAACGAATGACGCAGACTTGCGAGCACCTCCAAGGGCGGGAGAGGGGCCTTTGCGCATGCTCTTCGGACCGCGTTTCGAAGACGGTCTCGCTATCTCCACTTCCTAAAGCGAGATTATATGAAAAAACTCACAAAACAAGATGCTAGAAGAAGAGTAAGAAAGATACACTCGTGTTAAACTCGAGCGCACAGCTTCATAGTATATTAATTCAAATATCCTATGGTTACCCACGAGAAGGGACTCCCAAAACGTGAAATATGCTCAGCAGTGCTCTTCAGCTGAGATAATCATAAACTGAACGTAACCTCCATGCTACTGAGCTAACAAAATGGTTTCATATCGAGCATAAAATGATTAACCTCGCTGGGAAGATTTTGTAACGAATCCCTATACACATTCTCGACATTTTGGCACATTATTGTGACGTCATCCTCCATTTGATTGAATGTATAACAATTCCGGAACACACATTCAAAGTCCTGAAGTGTAAAAATTCTGCAGTGCACTTACATCGCCGGGCATATCGACAATCTTGGCCAAGAAGAGCTGTTCGAGAGTTCGGGCCATTGCTACGATGTCACTGTGAGGAGGATTGTAAGTGTAGCAGTTGTTGAACATTGTCATTATATCCTACAAATGATATCGGAGAATCTTTGAGATGCTAGCTAGTGCTATGATCTACGCCACAAAAAGAATCACAACGCGTAGGTACCATCAGAATAATCGAATACCGCTAAGTTTTTCTTTAATACGATGTTATCTTCATAGATTCCTTTAGCAGTTCAAAGAAGATTCTCCGATAATCCTCCTCACTGCGCAAAACTCAGCTTCTTATGTGTGGTTGAAAATACGATGTAAGAGCTCACAGATTACGGTCGAAGAAAAAATGTTGCTATGACAATACTACCATTTTCAAAAGTAATCAGTGCGCCGAGCTATGTAAACTTGTAGTGAAAACTGAAATGTGCATGTATAGGGAGACCAGCGAGCGTTCTTTTCGCTTGAATTTCGCAGAAAGGATCTATGAACTCGAACATCGTAAAAAAGGAAAACAGGATAACCGAGGGCTTGGCCCAAATCTTCGAAAACTCGAAAAGTGCTGATATGCCACGGCACACAAGAAAATCAAAACTACCTCCATGCATTCCTTAGCAGAAAAATAGTAAATATTTTGCAACCGCTTCTGAATAGTCTTCAAATCCATCGGACGGCGAATCACTTTGTGATAGTCCTATTCACAAAGATGAGAAGAGAAAAGATTTGTCAAATGTTATTTCTGACCGGCAAGTTTAATTTCACCGTATCAACAGGAACGTTGAACGGCCAAGCGTGTTTGTGCTTCATGACATCTTTGAGAACGGTGTTGAGGAGGTAGTCTAACTGATTTGTGTGCCTTGTGGGCTTGCCCATAGGAGGAATTACACGCGGTTGCACAATACCATTTACTGGTTCCTGTCAAAGATAGATAGTTGCATAAAAACAAGAGCTCGATGAACTGTTATGTACATGACAGCGCTCTACGAAACTAACCTGACGAGGAGATGCCCATGGATTCTCCGCTTTCTTTGCACTGTCGTCAGCTGCACCGGCGGCATCGCCTTCACCTGATGTACTAACTGCATCTAAATTCCTCTGCACGTCAGCGGACATGGCTGTACACACCTAAAAGAATAATTGCTGTTATAAGATTCATTTGGACAAACGAGACGACATTCAAGTTCCACATCAGAATTTCATCCCAAATCCAGATAAGCGACTAGACGTATGATTATGTGATCACATGATGACGTCAAAGATCACTAATTACTGCTAACGTAAAGAGAAAAGCGAATCAAAATGTCTGGATAGCGGGCTCCAAACTGCAACGCATACGGCACGCGTCGCGTATGCTCTGCGGAATGCTCTATGTCAGGATTGGACAAAATCAATCATGATAACCGAACAAATCTACGAACACAACAACTTCTTCACAGAAAAAAGAACTTAGGCGGTCCATCTGACACCCAGGAAGAAGTTATGTTGAAGTCAGTTGCAATTCTCTCAAAACCCTCAGATGTAGGCAAGCGTGGCCTCCAAATTACGTAAAACAAACACCCAGTGACAGATACTACACCAACCATGAACGGCTACCAAATCCGAGGCGCTTTTACACTTCTGATAACCTTATTAAGCATGTTCGACCCGATGTATATGAACAAACGAGTTAAAACGCATAGAAAGAGAGAAAGAGTCATGGCCTAGAACATTCCCTCGATCGATCCATCCATTGAAGACAGTGGCAAAATGCATCAGAGAGAGCGTGGCTAACGGAGGGTGCAGAGAGAAAAAATACTCTGCGTCCCTCTTCGAAGCCCATAGGTGCGTAATGCCAGTACTCGACAAATTATTTCATTGCTCTATGAAGGCATTTGTAAAATCTTTTGGTATAAGATGTTTACGGACATCATTTGCTACCATAGGAATTGGGTATATCTGATAACGATCTTATATAATCAAATGGCTTATCGAAGAAATAAATTTCACACGCTCTATCGTCAAAATCACTAACCTCTCAAGCCTTGCATGCAGTTCAAACACCCACTTAGTAGGAACAGCATGTCCATGCTGGCGTAAGTTTTTCAGGCAGAGAGCTCGCCACAATCATAACACAACTCATGTGTGGCCCTTTAAACTGTTATTAGCGGAACCGTGTTACAGTAGGAAACCACGCGTCTCCTTTAGACACGAAGGCCCTGGCTTAATTCCGGTTGGAATCGCAGTGGGAACTGGTAGAACGGTAACATCCGTAGATACAAGTGCTTCTGGATGGAACTCTTTTCAGAGTTTATGAGTTGGCACGTGTCCATACCGAAAACTAATGTTAGCATTGGAGCGCGCTAAGATGTGCGGTGAGCTGGCGTTGCTGAAATCGACTTCGTGCTGCTGCTAACACGTCAGTGAAGCCCTTTTATTGGAAGTGCGATGAGAGAGATTTTCCAGCTGCTGCCATGTTTTGATTTTGTGGGAGTGATGAAAACTTCTTTTTCTTTGTTCCTTCAACGTTCCTATGCCCGTACGCATTTTCTACAACTCATTATAAACTTTTAGTGCTTTGCTTTCATTCACGTTCCATCGCTCATACATTTGCTTTTTAGTGTTTTGAAGAACTGATCCGGGATATTTTTTGAAGTGGTCTTTCATTGCCTTGTTTTGCGGTAGCGAAAATTCATGCATTCCTGATTCGAATTTGAGTATTTGTGTCTTTGTTTTTGACTGAAAAACCCAACTAAGTGTTTATCTTGTTTCCTCCTTCTAAAAGAACAGAAAGTATAAGAAATTAAGGACATTTATATCCATGGCAGCCAATTATGAGGCGAGCACTGTAGATGTGATTTCGCAGCTGTCAAGGACCTGTATGTTTGTCAACCGCTTCACTCATGTTATCACTTAGCAGCAAGTGTCGTTATTGATGTGGAAATGAATTTCAAATATTATTGCCCTCAAAATTCTTTAGTGTCGAAGTAGCGATTATCGGTAACAAACCAATGTGGACCGCAAATTTTCTAGTGTTCAACATTTTCTCGATTTCCTTTTAAACCCTAATGTGGGTTTTCAAGAGCGTGGAGAGATCGAGCTAGGCGATCTCCCGCCCCCCTCCCCTCAGAAATCTTTGATCTCATTTTGTGCATTAGGACTAATAATCGCAAATTTAGTTGAAGAGATCTTAGTTTTTGCCAAAAAAGAAGTTATTGTTCAAGCATTTTGAACGGTCTCACAAATTTGAGTGAAATTGATTATAATCCACTCGGCCTAGAAGTTCACTGAGATTGCTTCTGAATTCTATAGGTTGAAGCATGAGTTTCCAAAAATTTTTGGAAACTTGTTTTGAAGGAGTTGAAAACGTTTTGCTAAGTTTGTCATAACTGATTATGCTGTTTAATATCATATCCCAGACTTTGTTTAGGTTGATATCATGGAGTCAAAAAATGAAACTCTGTGCCCATCCATGGAGACATCTGATCAGCACCAGTTTATTCTTATCAGAAAGAGCAGTCCACGAAACCGAACAGAACTAAATATGAACTTGTCTTTTTTGCGACCATTTTGGGATTTTACGATTTTAGCACTCTTCCTCAACACTTCGTTTCTGCCCGATTTGCCAAAAAAAAATTTTTTTAACTTCGTCCGGAAAATAGCTTTGCAGACAAGGAATTTAGATTTGAGATCTTTGTCCCAAGACAAGGTATAGGGTATAAGCTCCTGCAAGACGAAGGCGGTTGGTTCGAGGCGCGACATGGCTGTGACGCGGCTGTGACGCTGCTGTGACGCAGCCATGTCGCAGCCGCGTTGCACATCGAACCGACCGCCTTCGTCTTGCAGCAGCTTATATCTGAAAAATTGTGACGATGGCGCGACCGCGCGCGACACGCACGCACCTTTCTGCAACCGCACTTTCTTGGATTCAGTTTCTGCTCGACTGGTTTTTCTGCTTAGGCATGATAGTACTCGGACACTGGAAGTGACTGAGCTGAGCGTTGAGGTGATGCCTTTTTGTTGAGGGTGTTATGCTCCTGTTGGCGCAAAGACCGCAGTCAAATCCATCGTCACGATTCTATAAATGAACCAATAACTCTCTTTCATTGATGTCTTTCGCCGATCTTTGGGCACCTTCCTTTGGAGCTGGCTCCAGCTTAGATTAGGTTGGGTTGGGTTCATCGATCTCTCTTCGTTACTGTTACGGTAGGAACCGATGAGCATTTCAGGCCATAGAGAGACATGTCCTCAGTAAAAAAACAAACAAGCCAAAAAGTATATATTAGGCTTGTCAAGGTCGCTGATCGAATACGAGTTCTTAAGCTATTCCGGGTAAACCGTAACAAATGTTTTTATAATGTTCCTTAGAAATGTGAGTGCACCACTAGCAGGGCCCAAAAAACTCGTAGTAAGTTGTATAGTGGTATCAGCATGTGTGTAAACCCTCTTACACAATTTTTCAGATTTTTTAAAGAAATTTTTGTCAGGCGACCTATTTTTCAATGATTCTATGCTGAAAGTTCCTTACGTAATTCTACGGAACGAAGAGCCATCGGTTATTCGCTACATGATGTAAATTTAAGTTGAAGCCAGCTTCACAGAGTTATTGCGGTACCCAAATATCAATGAAAGATTGCGAGTGAGCTAATCACGACCAAACAGTGTGCACATTATTTTGGATTTTCTGTACATCTAATGTTGAGCCAGAGTCACCGGAGAAGTTCCCTTGTTGGTTGATTGTCGTCGTTATCGTCGTTGGGGAGCTTGTTCGCTTCTGTTCAAATGCGGCATATCTTTTTTCTCATGGATTGTCTTCCTCTTTATCGTATCACTTCCATGAAATTGTTGAATGTAGTGTTTCGATTTTTCTGCAGCATGTTATCTGCCTCTATTGCCTTTTGTTCCACTTTGCCCCAGCTCTCTGCGGAGCCTGTCACTTACATCTGAAAGAAAACATTTTATTGCCCCCCCTCTAATGTCTCCTAAAGTATCACTTCACTGCCTGCACCTAAAATGCAGTTTCGATGAATCAGTAGTAGCAAGCCAGTGATATACCGGAGCGAGATATTTCATGTTTTTGACCTGTCTCGGTCTGAACTATGCAGGACAAAAAACATGCGGGGTATATGAATATAGCTGAGCAAGGTGGTTTTCGAGCGGTGTCTAACTGTTCATCCCTCATCCCGTTTAGCTTCTGTGCTACATTTTTAGACGCTCTCATAGTGAACAGTGCAAAATTATATGCAAAATCGACTAAATTATAGTTGATTTTCTGAGGGGGTTTATCATGTGTAAAGTATGTAAAGTCTCACTGACCAGATAACCTTGACCGTCTTGAGCTTTTGAGGGTAAGCTTGCAAAGATATAAGTGCTTGGGAGTGACTCGAAGTACTTTTGGACGGTCATTGTGTTTGAAGATCTGCAGGTTCTTTGCGGCCTCCCAGGGCGAGAAGTACGAAATTACTACAAATCTGAAAAGGCAGTAGGTGTATAATGTTTCGGTTGAAGGGGTCCTCCGAGGCAATGCACAACTTTTTGAAATCCGGATGTCGAGTCAAAACATGCGTCTCTCGGGTTTTGAGTCTATCACTTCTGTATTCTACTTCTGACGATAAGCACATCTATAAGTGTGCTAAGAAAATGAAAAACTTGACAAACAGTCGACTGCCAGTGATAAGGGTGAGAACACTTAATCAAAAGTGTATATCAATAGGACCGCGGCCAATTCATCATCGGTAATGCCTGCGCAATAGTATGAAACAATGTTATAATTATAATCTTGAAACAGAAAATAGTGAAAATTATGAATCCATAATATTGAGATCAAGTACAACAGATAGATCAGGGCAGAATTTCTTGGGTTTAGTGTTTTTGTGAGTGAGTAGCGTGCTCCCATATGAGGCTCAACTTATCGATCCCTGCCCCAAGCGTCTAGCTTTGTGCTTGCCACGCTGTTTCGCATCCTTTTAATTTATGTATGTTGATAATACACTCTGGCATCTAGCAAACCTTTTATCAAACGAATGCATTTTTTTCTTCGAAAGGCAAAATGTGAGATGTACATGAACTGACGACGCTTTACGATATTTATTTTAGTCAAACATGTGAAGATATGTTTGAGAATTTGTGAAATCCAGGAACGGTCTTGGTCGAAGTAATTTTGAATCCACCTTGCATCTTAGTTACCTATCTATCCATCAACTGTAGTATGTTCTAAACATTTATTTGTTTCAAGCGATTACATGGAAAGCCGTGAATGTAATGCATTCGGTACGGAATACATGTCTCGATTGTGAGTTTGGAATCATGAGGACTGGTGTAATGCGCACACTAATTCCCATGTCAACAAACTTTTTCTTCAAGATTCGCTCCTCGTTTCAGAACTCACCTGCCTGAAACTTGCATGCTTGAGAAATAACGTTATATCACGCTCCCGCCTCGACTGCGTCCGTGTCGACCGCGCGGCCTTTGCGTCATCGCGGAGTAGGCTACGTGCGAGCAATATACTTTGGAATATTTGAATTTTTTTTCGAATAACCAAATAGTCGATTATATTTTAAGATCAAAAATATCGAATCGGATTTCGAATATTTTAACAAAAATTGTCGGATATCCGAATATCGAACATTTCGAAAGACAAAAATGCCAAATAATCGATTACTTTCGAAATAAGAAAATTGTCGAATAAGCGAATATCGGATATTTTCGAGATGAAAAAAAAACTTCGAATAATTGAATATAATTGAGAGAAAAATTCGACGAAACGAATACTTTGCATTGACCATTCGAATATTCGAACGAATAAGCATCATGAAGGACTCCATGTAGTGGGCAACTTGAACAACAAACGATACTTGCTGATATAGCAGTTAGAAATGTGACGCTGTTATGTAGTTATTCTCACAAGAAAATGTCGAATAATCGAATAACTATTAGAAGTAAATTTTTGAATGTTCGAATATTCGAAAACCAGTTCCGAATATCCGAGCAATCGAATAAGTTCGAAGCTGACAAATTTCGAATAAGCGATTATCGAATATATTCGAGATTTTGAAATTTTTGAATAATCGAATTTCGAATAGATTTTATTCGAATACTTTGATCGAATACTCGAATAATTATT